AAATGGGAGCTTGACTCAGGGGTGATTTGGTAGTGTCCATAGATTGATGGACCTAATAGTAGACCCAAAATACTATAATCCTTATCATAGGGAATCCCATAAGCGACCCTAATTCCCTAAACCCTAACCCTAAATCCTAAGCCCTAATTCCCCAATTCTCTAAACCCACCACTAAGGGACCCCTAATTTCGGGAAACCCTCATGTGGGATCCTTTGGGAGATCTACGCAGTGGCTAAAAAGATTGGAGGGTTACCATCTTGATAAGTTCTCACATCAAAGGTTAGGGGTTTAGGGTTTAGGGCTTAGGCTTTAGGGTGTGGATGATAACCGAAAAGCAACACTTTCCTAGAAAATTCCTACTTGGAGGTCATTGGGTAGCTACAACAAACCATGTATAGTAGTAGAGACACTCAATATCTATACCCTAAACCCAAAGCCAAATTGTAACGACTACAAGTAGACCAGGCAATCCTTATATTGCCTACCCAGCAGGAACCAGAAAGTAAATGTAAGCCCGCAGCCCCGCAAAATAGGAGGACCTTTGCTAACCAAAGTATCAAAAACTGTGACCCTACAACTTCTAGATAATAATTATGTCCTGCTACCTGGACCCCCAGAGTAATGAAAACATGACTGTTTTTAGAGGTTTACGTACATTATTCTGCCTATCCTAAACCCCAAACCCTACTGTTGAGGTCGAGGTAAACCGGAAACCCTGCGCTCTAAATCCGAAACCCTAAATTTCAGGCCTCTGAACCAAAGCCCCTGGGCACCCTGACACTCCCAAAATGAGGGGTCTCGAGCCACAGTCCCACTCTACAACTCAAGTGTTGCACTATCTGCTGCAGTCCCAGTAGGGCTTTATAGGGTATATACAGGGTAGTTCAGGGTTCAGGGTTTGGGGACCCTAAGTGAAACAACTATACTTAAAGTTCCAGAACTGTAAACTCTGAGGATTTACAACCAGATGTATCCTTACTGTTGATACTAAGAGCCCTGCATGGCCATAGTATAATGTAGCACCGCAATTCCCACGATGTAGGGTACTTAGGGTCATGCAGGATTTGTAGTATCCACCGTATTACAACCCACTTCTAGCCTAACTTATAGGCCCCGTCTTGTAGCTAGGAGCTTTGAAGCACTACACGCTCGACCCTAGTTAGGTAAGGGGTTTAGGGTGTGGGTGTAGGGTTTAGCTTTAGGGGTTCAGGTTTAGGATAGCAGTTCGCGAGTGAAGGCTTACCATTCCCGAAACACAGCTCCTACCCCACGGGAGCAAGTACCAAACGGGCAGGTTGAATGTGCGCCATAACAAGTATGGTCCAAGGTTTAGGGGCCTGGTTTTTTGTTTGCATGAATGGTTCGGGTTTAGGGGTTATAAGGTTTAGGGCTACAACCCTGCAGAAAATCAAAAGCTGTTGCAAGAACTACAGCAGCTACGACGCCTCTGCCGCCAGGAACAGGACCACCGGCACGACGCACGGGCGTGTGCGCAAGCCCTTCTGCAAGGTGAACCGCTGGCATGCTGTAGGCAGCACCCACCTCAGGACCGATTTAGGAATTTCTAGAGCCCAAACGATCCTAAGTACGGATATGCGGGAAACTAACCTAAACCATATTCCTCATTCCTAGTATAGAAACCCTACAGGGGCCCATCATCGGGATCCTAGGGACACATGGTGGTTTCCGTAAGTAAAGGCATAACAATGCGGACCTCAAAACACTATAATCCTGATTATGGGCACCCCTAATTTCGGGAAGCCCATATTCCTATGGGTCTTGTGCAAGGGTTGTGGAAGTGTGTCATAGCCATTTTGTAGACGCTGCTTTGCAAAACTCCCATGATTTCCCGCAGGGCCCATGTAGCCATGTAATACATACATGGGCCCCAAAGTAGCTATATAGTAACCCATTGAGGCCTTAAAAATATACTATATAGATAGATTCTAGAGATGACTTTACAAAGAACCACACGGTTCAGGGTTTGGGGTTTCGGGCTTGGTGCTTTGGGTAGGGTAGTCTCCAAACCCAAAGTAGGACCCTTGTACAGGGACTCAAGATTGCATCGGGACCCATTGAGCTCTGGGGTAAGGTATGTGACGAAGCTGCACGGAGGAAAAGCAGCAAGCACAAGGGAATCTATGAGTGTCCTTTTCCAGGTTGGCACCTAAAACCCATTGAAAAATATTAGTATATATGGTCCCCTATTAAAGCCATTAGGGCAAATATTAAATATCCCAGGGGCCTACCCATTTTTACTACAGCTTGGCTAGGAGCAGTTGTATTCCACAGAAAGGTTCCGATCAGCGTATCAGGTGTTTAGCTTAAAGCTCATCGGCTTCAACCCTTAACTGAAGTCTACTTCCTAACGTTTAAATCCTAAACGCGGAACCCAAACCGTACTTCTGCTGCTCTACGCCAAAAGACCTGCTAGGCAAGAAGAAAACAAGACTGGATCCATGAAGGAACAGGGTTTGGGGCTTATTGTTTAGGGCTTCAACTTTGGAATTTTAGGCTTGATTAGGATTCCGGCGTTAAGGGTGTAGCGTTCAGGATCTAGGGGCGAAGGATAGAGGATTTAGGGATTCAGCGCTCAGGATCCTGTTCAGGGTAAGCCCCGGACCCTCGACCGTTGGCATAGGAACAGTTAGAACCGAATTACTATCATCATGAGAGCCATTATCTAAACTCCTAGTATCCCCCTTAATAACCCCTATAGTAGTCCCCCATATAACCCCCTATATAACCCCCTTTAAGGAGTTTAGACTATGGCTCATGAGAAGGGACACTCTTCCTGCTTACCAGCGCTTCAACAACTCCAGCTCATCTCTAAGGGATTTGGAACCCCAGTAGAAATTATAATTTCAGCTAAATATTAGGATTCTAGGTAACAGAAATTAAAAATCATTTTCAGGAACCTTGTAGTCATTCTTACTGTAACTGATGTTGAAGCTGGGATTGCTGCGAACATTGCTTTTATCATGGTTGCCATCATCATGGTGGTGGTGCTTGGCGGTGGCCGTGGCCTTGGCGGTGGCGGTGGTGGCGGCGGTCACCACCGCAGCAGCAACATCTGTTATTGTTGATGCTTCTGAATGTGTGAACACGCGTTCTTTCAAACTCTTTTCATCCGCCTTGCCACTGTTGGAGCATAAGCTTTACACGTAAGCGTGCACTTGAGGTGAGCTTTCCACCCACGCGGAAAAGGGTTACGGGCAACATGACCCCAGCTCCTGAAGTAGAAGCCTGAAAAAACATGAATAAACCATTCCCCTACCCGTACAGTCCTTATACGACTATCACACGAAGAACTCATACTACGGTCCCTTCATAGCTCTCATAGGTTCTATGTATACATGTACTTCTTTTCTAAATATCAAATCTATATTCCAATGATTAGGGCGCTACATTACACGATAATATTCCTGGAGGCCCGAGCCCCGAGACGAACCTAAACTACATGCTAGCCCAGAGGGTCCATGCAGCCATGCAGTACATACCCGAGCACAAAGTCGGTACATGGGAAATCCTTTCGGCCCCAAGTATGTAATGTATACCAACCCTAAACCCCAAATCCTAAACCCTAAACCCTATACCACACGGACCCTTTGGGTAGCTCACATGGGGCCAGGTGAGGCGGTTTCAGGCTGCGTCCATGGCCACTCAAAGCTTCGGGTTTAGGGTTTAGGGTGGTTAGTTGGTATTACCTAAGGGTCCATACTTACCCAAAACTTATACTATAATTACTATTAACCAAATCCCAAGTACCTAATTATTGGGTACTTGGACCCTCTGGGTTTAGGGTGTAGGGTTGACCTGCAGGCGCTCATGTGGTTCTCTTTTGGGTTTGCTGTAATTTATTTTGGCACGGGATTTCATACTACTGTATATCTGCCATCAATCCTACAAGGCTTTCCACAAGTTGGGGAGGTTTCAACTTGACATTTTTCAGAATCAGCAGGAACAGAACTTGGCGGTAGATGATTAAGAGGCACGCGTTGTTGAAAACATCCATATCCCACTCTTTGTTTTTCAGCGGGCTTCAGGTTTCGTACTTGTACCCTACAAGGTTTAAGGGTTTTCGGCCTAAGCCGTAAGCCTGAGACACCCGACCCCAAACCCTGCGACCAAACTTGTGGGGAAGATCCCGGGCGGCGCCCAAGAAAAGACGAAAGGAGTCTTTGCTCCTCTCTCTGGTGCTGAGGGGGCAGTGGGGGAGTGAAAGCTTGTGCGGTTTAGGGTTTGGGGCTTAGGGTTTAAGGACTTAAAGAGATCCACTCCCTCAATCCCCCTTAAGCACCGCTAAGTCCTGTGCGCTTGGAGGCTCGGGTAACTTGTAACTCAATTCTGCTACTGTTTCTATATTTTAAAGTATCTGTAGAGCTGAATACACCAAAATATCACCTGTATATACCCTATTCAAATATCATATAGTTTCCATTTTCCTTTCCTTGACCCCTACGGAGATATTGAATCCCCAGAGAAAAAGGGGGATAGGCGGAGTGCTGCGAGGCGCCATTTTTCATACCATGAGAGGTTTAGGGTTTTTGCGTTCAGGTTTCAGTGTAGTTTGGGGCTTGGAGGGGCACATTCTTATGAACCCAAGAACAAAACGTCTTGAACTCCTTCAGCCCAAAAACAAGGCCCTGGACTGTGTCCGTTGAAGGCTGATGTAGGTGACCCTACTTGGAGGCCCATGGAACTTAGTAAGTACTTATAACTGGGCTTATAACCCTAATTATAATCCCCCTAAATAGGGGTTACCCCAATTTCAAGTAGGGTTATAATCCCAGTTATAAGTAGTTACTAAGTCCCATGGGCCTCCAAGTACTGGGTACTTGACCACCTGGTGCTTCCGTAAGATGCTTCGGCGTCTTAAGAACACAAGCTTGCTTCAGAATCTGCCCAGCAAGTTTCCTGAGCCCCTGAGGGATCGACTCCGCATATGTTACTAGTCAGCGAAATTCTCAGATAGCTAGACAACCGCCGTCAGCAAGGCTTAAGGAACATGTTCAAGGCCAAACTTGAATCGTAGCATGATGGCATCACCGGAGTGAGCAGCATCGGAGCGGTGCTTTGAGATCTGATTGAACGAGTACAGCCCACAACCGCCAACTCCGGTATTCAAGTAGCCCCACACAAAATTGGCCTGGCGCCCCTCCCACGTCGAGGTTGCGTTGTCGCTGGACATCATCGTCCACCCAGCAATATGCCACTCGCGGTAGCTGACGGAGAGAGCACACTGTAAGCTTGGCAATGCCTTTTGTTCCGCAGTCCCTCCGGTTCGGTAGGCGGGGAGCTCCAAGAGATTGCCCTTTTTGTTGCGGTAAGCCTGAGTGTGTACAGATGGAGGGTCAATCATGGGTTCTGCCCCTTCCCAGTAACACGTTATACTATAGCTAGGAGTACTACTATTTATGGGCTTCACATAATCATACTTTGAATGCTATTCAAGCGTTTCCGGGTGGGGGCAGCACGCTAGGTTCACTCAGAGGTCGGAGAATAAGCAAACAAAACGACTCCATCCCTGTTCTTTGCACGTCTTGGTTGGCCAGTGTAATTCTTTGTACTTATGACTTAGGTGACAGCCCCGCCCGCTAATGGCGACAACAACGCATTATGGCGTTTCTGAGTTTCTTTTGTAGCACTATTGCTACAGGAGCCTAAATAAATACCAATATCATGTTGAACTCCATTTGAGCTACCATATACTTTAATTGTACAAGGAATATGGAACCATAATATTGGTAATTCTTTAGGCTCCTACAGTACATACCGGACGCCAGCCTGGCCACAAGTATGATTGTCATGCTCGCAGGTAGGATTCAGGGTCTAGGCTGTAGAGCTCATGAGTTAGGGTAATAGAGGGAAAATAAGCAACAGAACTATAGCCCGGAAAAGTATTATACAACGATCACAAACCTACTGACAATAACTTTGCTTCGACCTCCAAACTACAAAAGTTGTGTCAAAAACATTGCTGAACCCCAAGGTCCTTCGCATCTTTCCAGAAGAATACGAGCTGGTTAAGGAAGGCTTCATATTTCCTGAAAACAAAGACAGAAGTGGCCGTTTCGGGTTTAGGGTTTAGAAGCTCAGGGTTTAGGGTTTAGAAGTTTCGGGTTTGAGCGTTTAGAAGTAAAAAAACTCAGGATTTGAGTGTGTAGGGTTTAGGAATTTAGTGTTTTGGGGGTTTGGGGGTTTTGGGGTTAAGGGTCCAGAATTCACACCCCCAGGCCTACCTACCACCCCATACACTTTGATCAAGGTCGAGTTTAGGGGGTTAGGGATTTTGGGTTTAATTAGGGGTTTAGGGGACTTGAAGATTTAGGGGCTTAGGGTTTAGGGGTTTGGGGTCTAGGGGTTTAGGGAATTAGGGGCTTTCGGGGTCAAGTGTTCAAGGTTTTAGGGTTTAGGTAGGAATGCTACATGGGCACCTAATATGATTCGAGCTTGGCTTGGTTTCCTTAGTTGGTAATATCCCGCAACTTAGGCTGATCTAGATTGAACCCTAACAGCCCTGCCCAGAAATCATCTGGGTGGCTCCTCAGGAATTTTGATTTAAGTTACATTTACTGAGGAAACCATATTATTTACCGTATACCCGCCTTAAAGTAACCTAAGGCCTAAACCTAAACCCTAAATGCCCATGTTATGGTAACGTAGTTAAAGTCCCGTAACAGCAGCCCAGCCATTTTACTCTGTTTCTCGGCACAGGCTTGCGGGAGCATATCCTCCAAAACCCGACAACCTCTGCTCAGCTGCCTATGGTTCCGGAGCTAGCTGCGTAACGATTTAGGGTTTAGGGTTGAGGACAAGTTTTGGGATGGATAGCAATACTTATCCTTTTTCTTACTGGGGCTGAGTAGGGATTAAGGGAATTTAGGAATAGGGATTGTATTCCCGTATTCCCTATCGAGAACCAATAAGTAAAATGCAGCTTAAAGCTAGGTACTTGACAGCCTTCTTCCGGGCTTTGGACCTGTTGGATCTTGCATCAATCCGCCAAGCTTCGTCTTTAGAAACGGTAGAGCTTACAGTTTAGGGCTGTTTAGGGTGTAGGGTTTCGGACCCAAATCTTGGGGCTTTAGGTTCCAAATACCGCTCAGATTCTAGTGCTTGGGCCAGAAATCACCATTATTTATGTCCTTGGACCCTTACAGGGAGGGGCTCCCTAGTTACATAACTATACTTCTATAAGTCCTATAACTTCAATTTATGGCGCTGATAACTGTAATGTTATCTATAAACCAACTTATAACTAGGGGGGTTTACAGTATGTGTCAACCAGCCAAGTCTCGTCTTCAGAAACTTCTTCGGATAAGTGTCCCAGTCACCCTCGACCTCCTCCATCGGAATTCAAAGTTTGAAAGCAGAGTGGTGATTAGAATCACTGGGGAGAGACCTACAGGGAGGGGCCCCCTAGTTACAAGTTGGGTTATAAGTTTGGATAGCTATGGTTATAAGTTCCAAAAGGTGTAGGTACAGGACTTATAAATATAGTTATGCAACTAGGGGGGCCCCTCCTTGTAGGAGAATCAAAAAAACTTCTAGTAGGTGGGCAAGTTGCTCGAGGACTTCTGTCCCCAGAGAGATACAAGGAGGGCCTCTCCCCCCTGGTGTCTAGGAATTAGGTACTTTGGATTTGGGTGGTTGCAATGGTAGTGCAGATCTTGGGCAGGCATGCCAGTCTCGAAACTGACAATCGAACTGGCATCCCCAGGAAACTGCTTCCATAGACATGCCAAGATTTACTTTGTGATCCCTACGCCCTAATGAGCCCTGGGCTGTGGTTCACAAAGCCCTATATCTTTTGCAAGCTTCCCTGTGACTCTGTCCGGTTGGATGAGCTTACACGGAGCCTAGATTGCCTATAAGCTCTCAACCCTGAAGCTAAATACCAGGGCCTCATAGCCTCTCTGGCTTTATGGACTTATCCCATAAAGCATGCAGTATGTCAATCCGAAACATTGAACACAAAGTCAGGGCCCAAAGGCTTTGCCATGTCTACTTTGGGGCCCAGTGGGCGTGGACCCTTTTGGACTGAAACTTCCGTGTCCCCTGAGTCCTGATTAGGGTATGCCACCCGCTCCATGTTCTCCTCCGTCATCCTGAAACAAAAGGGACAGCCCGCAGATAATTCGAGGATTTTGGCTACCGCAGTCCTCAAAATGAACAGCTTAATATCCTATGACTGTTGCAGAGCGTTGTTCTAGGCGTTGGAGTTGCCAAACCCAAAACCCTAAGCCCTAAACCGTAACCTCTCCTCATAATCGGAAGATTGCGTTTAGCATTGAGGATTTCGGACCCAAGGTCTATAGATACCGTGCCCTGAGAGTTATGACAATACTACATGCAATCCTTGGTATCAAAAGTAGTACCTATTAACATGGATCCCAATGCATTATTGTTAAAAATTTGAAAAGAGGGCTCACGTACTAATGTGTGGCCCCCCCTCCCCCTACAAGATTTTTTCCCTTAAGGCAGTTTAGGATTCAGAATTGAGGTTCAACATTTCCCGTACCCAGACATTTAAAAGGTTCGCTGTCAGTTGGTTCTAAGAAACAACCAAAAATTTCCAACCACTACCAGACTCTGTGACGCGCCAGTGAGCCATGAGGAGATCGGGCCCAGCTCCATGAATTCGCTTAAGGGTCCGCGTGCTGGCTGGCTCTTCTCCTTAAAATGGCCGTTGCTCAATCTTGAGCATCTGTTGGGGCAGGGGTACCTAAACCCTAAACCCTAAACGGCACGAGTTATGTGTTAGGTGGGTAGGGCGTCGGCCTAGCTGCAAGCGGAGTGCGAGACAATCAGGGCTTCCCCAAGGTTACGGTATTTTGAGGGCCTATATTCGCCCCCCCCCCCCATCCCCACACCCACCCCACCGCCCCGGAAATAGTCCCTACTACAACCAGAACCCCTATACTGCAACCAGATGGTGCGTACTACAACTGAAAAGCCCTATCATAACTGGTCTCACAAATCATAAAAACCGGACCCAACCGCAACCCGAACACAACATAATCTCATTTCCACAACATAATGAGATTACCACGAGATGCACCTCAGCCATGTAACTATAACGTGTTTTCAAAGGCTTATGGAGTTTTGAGTGGGTGGTGTTGGAAGGCTCTTGAAATCGCGCTCTGAAAGTGCTCCTGGAATGGCGATTTGAAAGTGCGGTCTTATTTTGGACTGCTCTTGGAATGGTGCTTTTTGGAATATTTTGGAATGCTCTTGGAATTGCGATTTGAAAGTGCTGTGTTATTTTGGAGTGCTCTTGAAATGGTTCTTATGGAGTGCTCTTGGAATGGCGATCTGAATTATTTTGGAATGCTCTTGGAATGGTGCTTTTGGAGTGCTCTTCATTAAGTGAGAACCTTGGGGGGTAGTATAGGGGCTGCTATAGAGATTGCTGGAGTAACAGTCCGCACATGTTGCTGTCTTGCACGCCATGAATGACTCATAAGGCCTAAACCCTACTGCACGTCATAGGACTACAGGCTGCCGTTGTTTCCTCGCCCACAATGAAGTGTGTAAGTGCTTGCTAGTTGCTTGCACCTTGAAAATCGGGAAGAATCATAACGAAGTATTACCATTTGGCCTTTTCTGGCTCCTGGTACCTTGACATTCGGGCATAGTCATAGCTAATTATTATGATTTGGTGTTTTTGGGTTCCCTGTACCCTGAAATCCGGGAATAGTCATAGCTACATATCATCATTTGGCCCTTTCTGGTTCCTTGAACCCTGACATTTGGGCAAAGTCATAGCTAATTATTGTGATTTGGCTTTTTCTGGTTCTTTGATGTTCTTTGTACCCTGCACTGGATGATTCGGGCATTTCTGATTCCGTATACCCTGAAGTGATTCGAGGGTGTTAATAATGTAAGTGTTCCCTTTCAAATCAACTTCTGGGTATTCTGACGAACGATGGTCCGTACTACAACTCATGTTTCCCAAAGTTAAATCAAATTTCCTTCCCTCGGA